TATATCTTTAATAATATAATCCCTTTCTTTTTTATGGAACGCGAGATATTATAGAGTAATATTTTAAGCTATATTATTATAAATATTATAATAAAATTATATAAGGTATTAAGCCTAAGTATCTATATCGGCATAGATCTTAAACCCCTAAGGTTAAAGCTTATTATATCTATTAATTAATTAGACTTTATTAATACCTTAGATATTAAAGGTTTAATAGCGAAAAGGTCTATTACTAAAGTATTTAATATTATCCTTACCTATAATCTCTTAGTAGGCTATATATAGAGAATCATAGGAGATAATATGCCCCCTTTATTATATATAAATAAGGAAGAGGTTATAGCCTAGGGACTATAAGGTAAATAATTATTAATTTTATTTATAGATAGCTATAGATATCTTTTTAACTATAATTTAAAATTACTTAGGGGTTTAATATTAATAAAGTTCTTCTTCAAGGTAAATAATTACTACTTAAGATTTATTAATAATAAATCCCTCTTTTTATAACTATTTTAGGATTAAATTATTAAGTAATAATTCTTTAAAGAATAATACCTTTAAATATATATATAGCTCTTTATTATTATATATAGCTTCTTATTTTCTTAATCCCTATTATTTATAAGACTTAAAAAGGCATAATCTCTTTATAGAGATATTATATTAATCTTAAAGTCGCTATATAACCTTAGGCATAGATATTTTAGCTTTATATTATTTTATAATTTACTCGCGAAATAACTTAAGGTTAATACTTAATTATAATATAATATTAAAAAAAGAATAATAATAATTATAATAATTTAATAATAATTATAATAATTTAATAATAATTATAATAATTTAATAATAATTATAATAATTTAATAATAATTATAATAATTTAATAATAATTATAATAATTTAATAATAATTATAATAATTTAATAATAATTATAATAATTTAATAATAATTATAATAATTTAATAATAATTAAGGTAATATAATAATAATTATAATAAGAAATAAAAAAATAGCCTTTATAGGGAGAAAAAATTTATTTTTTTCCCTTTTTAAATATATAGCCTCCTATAGCTAATTAAAAAAGTTAAAAAATAGCCTTACCTTATAGATTAAACCCTAGCCCTATTAAAATATCTTACTTTTATAATCTTAATAATATTAATACTATAATATTACTTAGTAATCTTTAATTATCCTTTATATTAATAACCTTAAAGGTATTAATATCGCCTTTATAATATTAACCCCTTATAAAAATAATAAAAAGAAATCTCTACTTAGTTTTACCTTATTATATTATTAATCCCTTTACTTAGTAAATAAGGCGCGCCCCTTAGTCTAAGACTTATTATATAGCCCGAGAGCCTAAGATTAATATTAATAGAAATAGATTTATATTATCACGGGGTATAAATATATATAAATAATACCTCTTAGAGAATCCCTTCTAAGCTAATTAGACTCGCTTTAATAATATATAAAAGAGGCTAATCCCTATTATATTATATTAATATAAATTTTATTTCTAATTAATAATAATAATTAGAGTTATTACCCTAGGTTATATATCTATTATTATATAAAGAGGCCTTTACTTAAGGTATATATTTAATTTAATTTGCATATATTTAATAATAAATAATTACTAATAATTACCTCTATAAATATATATAAAATACTATAATAACTCTATAATACTATATAGTTATAATCCCTCTATAATTAATTATTAAAGTTATTATTTTTATTTACCTTAGTAATTAAGCTCTCTATTATATCTATAAAGGTCTTAAGATACTCTAAGGGAATAATCTAAAGCGCGTAAATTATCTCGCGCTCTTATATCTTATCCTTAACCTTCTTATGCTTTTAAGGCTTATTAACATCACCTTTACTCTTTTACTTAGTAGATTTATTAAGTAAATAAAGTCTAGCCTTATTATAATAATAATAAGAAATATAACCGCCTAAGAGTATATCTAGAGTAATATATTAAGCATAGGGTATACTTTTATTCCCTTTATATTATATATAATACTTCTTTCTATCCTATATATTACTATATATATACTTAATTAAAGAATTAATAGCCTAAGGGTACTTATACTTTACTAAGAATAGGCTTTTCTCTTTTTTCTTTTATACTAAGAGAACCTTTATTAAGCGCTTTATTAAGAATTAGCTTATAATAAAAAAATTAAAGATTAAGGTAGACTTAATTATAAGAAAGTCTTTTATAGTATTAAATTATTATATAATATTATAATTATTATTAATATTAAAATCCTTTAGAGTTCTTAAAGTAAAGAAATCTTAATTAGTAAATTATTACAGGAGGGAATAATTAATTTTAATATTTTAGGCTATATTAATTATTTACCTAGTTAGCTATATAATAAAGAGATTAATATAAAGATTTATAATATATTAAATTAAAATATTATTTCTTTTATATAATAATTTAATATTAATAGGTATAATAATTATTAATAAAATCCTAGTATAATAGAGATATTAAGATAGAAATTATCTTTGCGAGCTTAATATACTTATTAATCTAATAATCTATAAATATTTACTTTTATTTAACTAAAAGGTTCTTAATTCTTATAAAAGAAATCTTTATAAGAAATATCTTCTTTATAAAGCTTTATTTTTCTTTATATAAGCTTATTATTCTTTATATAGGCTTATTATTCTTTATAAGGAATAAATTTTTCTTTATTAGCTTATATTCGGCGAAAAAAATTTATAAGTAATATCGCTATAGTAATTTATGTATATATAGTATTAGCTCACTTAATAATTAAAAATGCCTTAGTATGGATAGATCTAGAAAAGTATTTCTAGACGGTTGGGCTTATCGGCAACCGTACTAGTCGCCGCGCCGAGTACTGATCGGCGACACTCGGGCCAGAGGTTACTACGTGTTACACTGTGGAGGGCCGAGGCAGACGCTAGTGATCACTAATCGTGAGGAACATTAACTTGATTTCGCCCGCGATGCACTAACAAACTCAGAAGTGACCAATCATGACTGGCTGAGTACATTGACCAAGTCCCACGCTCTCTCTTTGAGAACAGATTGTGGTTATGTGTATCAGAGGTCAATCGATCACTAATCACCGACTCACTCTTTTTGGGACATGAGTTTGCCCGGCACAAAAACTCTCTTCCACTCGCCCGCCCAACGGTTCAACCTTCGTCCTCGGCATCATGATCGATAATCACGCTTCATGCTCCGCCATGCTCCGCTCCGCGCAAGAATAACTGCCGAGTGTATTGTAAATCCAAAGTCCGCGAACTCATGGCTCGCAGGGACTCGAGCGTGACGTGCTACTGCGCAATGATGAAGGGCTTCTTATACCGTAGACCTCCTCATACAAACCTCGACACGATCACAAGCCAGCTCTTCCTCTGAATCGCCTCTTCAACACCAATAAATTCAAGGATCCTACCAGGCCATTCACAACGAGTACCCCGTCCACTATCCTCATCACCGGTCCAAACTGCGGAATCGGCAAGAGCTTCGCAAGACCTTCCTCGACAGGCCTCAGACAACCATGATCCTTGCTGTGCGCGACCCAGAGCACCCAAACTCCAAGGCTCTTGATGATCTTCCCAAGGGGAGGGCACCCGGCTCATCACCGTCAAGCTCGACTCCAGCGTTGCGACCGACGCTGCCGAGGCGGTGAGCACGCTCCAGAAGGAGCATGGGATCAAGGCTCTGGACATTGTCATTGCCAATGCTGGCATCGCCGCTGACGGAACCACCGTCCGCAAGAGCTCGGTTGACAGCATCGACCAGCACTTGCAGGTCAATTTGCTTGGCCCTGTCACCCTCTTCCAGGCCACCGCGGACCTTCTCAGCGCTAGCAAGACTGGAAACCCCATCTTCGTAGCCATCTCGACTCTGATCGGATCCATTGGCTCCATGGAGGGCTTGGCCGACTTCCCTCCCGCCCAGAGCCCCTACGGTGACAGCAAGGCGGCACTGAACTGGTTCATCCGCCGCCTCCACTTCGAGGAGTCTTGGTTGACCAGCTTCGTCTTCCACCCTGGTCTCGTCGACACTGAACTCGCCGCAGGGGCTGTCGCGAGCGCGGGCACCACACTGAAGCTCTGTGACCTCGGCGCCATCAGCGTCGACACCAGCGTGACGGCCATGGTCAAGACAATCGATGGAGCCACCAGGGACATCGGCGGCACATTCCAGAACTACGACGGCAGCAAGCTCCCCTGGTAGAGAAGAATCGTGGGCTTGGTAGCGACTCCAGCCAGGAGGGGGAAGGGAATAGGGTATTTCTGCCAATCAATAGCCAGTGCGTTACTAACATACGTCTCATTGATGATAACGTACCATCCCCCACCACTTAAAGAATCACACCACTTAAAGCATAGCACAAAAAATCGTCGCCCCATACAAATTCTACGATTTTGTTTGCACCGCATTTTGCCATAATGAAGCCATTCGCGAAAACAAAAACTTGCGGTGCATTACTGTTTGCGTAACGTACTTGATAAGCGAGCGGCGCAGACAAGCGAGCAACGCACTCATACTGTACAGCTAAAAGTAGCAAACCTTAAATTTCTAAAAGGGAGTAGTTTTATTAGTATGGCCTCACGTAATGACCACACTGCACAATAGACTTCCCGGCTCGGAAGGTTCACTAAGGGGTTTTCTTCCCTCCTGTAACTACCTCACGGGGAGTTAATTACTCGCCTCGGCAGGTATCTCATCATCTCTCACGCAATTAAGACTCGACTTTTACCCCCCCCCCCCTCACCTTCCCTCTATATATAGCACTACTACAATATATAGATACTTACCTCCCTACGAGGGAGCATAGACGGGCCTTCTCTAATACTGCGGTCTAACACGCTTACACATAAGACCATAGTAACAGGTAACCCATTGCGGCCAAACTATATATACTCTGTCCCTCTTAACTACGTGAGGTCACTAATAAACTAGCTATATAATTTTTAAAAATCTAAAAAACATATTTTTAAATATTTAAGAAAAAAAGAAAACTATATAGTATTTTTCTTAGATTTTTAAAAAAAATCTCTTTTATATAGAAATAGCAATAATATATATATATAGTAAGCGTCGCAATTAAGTAAGCATCGCACCTTTCCCTCTTATACCTAACTTTATATTTAATTAATTGATTCTTAACTACCTAATATGCCTACCTCTAATATTAAAGCTAGAACCCTTCTTACCCTTTAGGCCCTTTAAAATAACCTAAAGCTAAGTATCTAACGCGCTATAATAACCTATGAGATTTCTAAGCATCGCCTATATCGCCGGCAATAAGGTATCTAATCTCGACGCGATATTATCTAGAAATTATATTAGCTATCTAATCTAGAGGAATAGATCCTTATTTAGTTTATTCTTAACCTAGATTCGCGAGGATCCCCCCCCCGGCTATATAGTATAAAAGAAATAGCTAATTAATTACTTATCGACTATAATATACTACTAGTTAATATATATTAGGCTTTAGACTTTATTAAGCGATACTTAGAGCTTAAGATATATTTCTTTTATAAATATAATTACTAAAGAGCTAAATATAAAGATCTAATTATTATCTATGATTAATTTTAGCTTATAGCAAATATAATCGCGAAGTATAATATCTAATTAAATAATATTTATAACTTTAATAAGATTAGCTTCCTTATAGGCATAATTATAAGTAAAATAATTATTATAGGCTTAAAAAGGTATTTAAAGCTAAAATTAATATAGCCTAGAAACTAGGAATAAATTATAATTATTTAGGTAATTAATATAAAAGGCTAGGCAATCTAGCTATTTATTATTAATATAGGCTAATATTACCTCGCTAATTAGTACTAAAAAAGTAACCTCTTAGGCGATTAAGTAATTATAATAACCTAAAATAGCTAGACTAATAATAAGATTAGTCTTAAGTAGCTTAAGTATTTTAACCGGTATATAATTAATCGATTAATTAGTTCTTATTACTCCCTAACCCCTAATAGCTATAAAAGCTATTAATTAATCGAATTTAAGAGATATTATAAGAAAAAAAAGATTATCTAGCTTTATATATTACTTTATTCCTCTTATTTACTTTAGCCCCTTAATATTAGATACTTTAGTATACTAAAGCGAGCTTATAGTTAAGAAATAGAGCGATTAATTAGATACTTTATAACTTATATTTTAAAGACTAAGTTCTTTCTAGCTTTCTATATTATATATAAGGCTATTATAATAAAAAGAAATATTAAGGGGGCTTTTAAAGGAGCTAGCCTTATTCCCCTTAACCTAGAAGCTATAATCTTAAAGCTTAATATATAGCTATAGACTCTAATACTTACCGAGGAGGGCATTAAACCCTCTACCCCTTAGGTCTTAAGGACCCTAAAGACTATACTTAAGGCTAGATCTTAGTCTAAATACCTTGAAAGATAAATTAGAAGGTATTAAAGTAGCTCCCTAGAGTTAATTATAGAGGCTATAAAGTCTCTTATAAAAGTAATAAAGGGAAATATATATAAGATAATATTATTAAGGGTAGAGATTAAAGACCTTTAAGAGGTAAATAAGATACTAAGCTAGCGCTAGAGGGCAAAAAAGACTAGATTATAGAAAAGAGGGGTTATAATAATAGAGGAAAGAAGGTAAATAATTAATTAGATAGATATTAATATATAGGTAGTAGCTAAATTATCGAGGAGTAGTAATTAAGGAAGGTTAGCGTAATTAGGTATTTAGCGTTATAATATCTATAGTAAGCCTAGCTATAATATAAGGACCTATAAGGTAGTAATTAAGATATCTAGGGAAAAGTATAATAAGTAATTTAAATTAATTAAATAATTTATAGTATTTTTATTATGATTTCTAGTTTAGAGGTTAAGAAAAGTGCGATGCTTACTTAACTGCGACGCTTACTATATATATATGTTATATATAGTGCGAATAGGTTTTTCTTATTACGACCTATATTATAACCGAATATATAACGCTGCACGGCATAGATTAATATATTACCGCTTACTCCAGAACCTATCGTCCCGCTTACTCTCTTACTCTATGCGAGTAAGAATATAGCAATATCTTATAATGCCTATTATAAGATACTTCTTAGACTATGCCTATAAAAGACTATATAATATTCCTTAGATAGATACTCTAGCTACCTTAGCTTTTAATATAACTTAATTACTTAAGAATACTTCTTAATATTATTAGATATAATTCGCTACCCTACGCTTAGTATATTATACCCCGTTATAACTATTAATATAAACCTATTTAGTTATAGTTTATTATATTAGGAATCTTAACTATTATATTTCTTAATTAACATATATAATAAGTATATATACTAAATAAGTATATATACTAGCATACTATATAACTAAAAATAAGTAAACCTTATATTTCTATAATTAGCTATTTAATTATTAAAATTATTAAAAAAATATTCTTAGCTATTTAACTATATATAAAGCTTAAAATAATTTTTATAGATTTATAAAAACTTTCCTTTATATAGAAATAGCTAATTACATAGTATAAATAAGTTATTATTATACTAGCTTAGTAAGAATTTTTTAAAAATCTAAGAAAATTATTATAGGTTTTATATTATGTAATAAGCCTAACTTTTAAGACCTAGTAATTTTAAGCCTAGTTTAAATTTTTAAGAATTTATTTAAAATTATCTTTTAAAGTAGAAATTCAAGCGGTATACTTACTTATCTAGTGCACTCGCTTATTATAACGATTATAGAGGTTCCTATAATAATTAAGGTTCCTAATATAATAAACTATAACCTAATTTAGTTTATATTAGTAATTATAATAAGGCATAATATACTAAGTATAAAATAGTAAATTATATCTAATAATATTAAGAAGTATTCTTAAGTAATTAAGTTATATTAAAAGCTAGAGAGCTATCTAGATATAGGAAAGTAAGAATAAGCGAGACTATATATACTTATTCTAATTTACTTAGTCGATCGTAATTAAACGCGCTCTTATTCGACCTATTCGACTATTTAAGGTTAAGGTTTTACTTTTAGTTAAACGTGGTTAAACTTATTCCCGTTCGACTAGTTCGACTATATACTACTTCCACCGGGGCCTATTTGTTCTATTCCGAGCTCCGACGTTTTCTATTCGTATCCTAGTTAATCTTCCTACTCGTAATAGTTCCTAAGGGATAAACCGGTCGTGCTAGGTTTATATTAGCAGAGGGGATACTAGCGTTATCTTAAATAAGGTATAAGTTACGTCTAGTAATATACTTAAAGGTATTAAGTATAACTAAGTTATATTGATAGCTAAGGTAGCTAGTATATAAGAAAGTGCAATGAATGTGTTCTATATACTTGGAGTAGCCTGCTTAGACCGATCGTGAATTAGAACGATGTCATTCCTGGCTCGCGTCGGCCCTGGACCGACGTCGTTCCTGTGTAGTGTCGGTCCAGCGCCTGATAGGTGCGTTGAGCCGGGGGATTTGTGGAGACCACGTGACGAAACCGCGGGGGTCGTAACACTTATTGTTACGCGGCTTTGTTCGAGCCCGCGCATCAACCAACCCACGTGCCCTTAGCCTTTCAGCGGGGTATCTCAAAGGAATCCTTTGTCTTTCGCCACGGGTACGGTCATCTTAGTTCTAGCAAGCTTCAGTCCAATACAACCATTTTGCCTACCTAGCTTTCCGTGACTTAAGAAGTCATAGCTGTAACATAGATATTAACCCCTAGGTTTAAAGGTGGAATTTTAAGGGATTTAGAGTAAGGAGGGTATATAGATACTTGCCCCTAGGTTTAGAGGTAGAAGAGAACTCGAAAGAGGTATAATTTTATCTATATCCTATCGAGTATAGCTAGTTCTCGCTTAGCAATAACCATGAGGTTTAGATTCGTTTGTACATTGCGATAGGCAGACTCTATAATCGCCCGGAAATGAATGTTTTTAGTAAAGTGGCATCTAATCATAGATGTCGTTGCTGCTTCAAACAAGAACATTTTATTCTCCTTAAGTCCTGACGGTCTAGGCGCAGGACAAGTGCCTGGGTGACGCCGTGGTCTCATTCTACCTAACCTTCAATGGCTTTCTAACGACTGGTCTGTCCATGCCATGCCATGGAGGGCGTCAAAACTGTCACTACGAATTGTGAGCACCACGTTGACAAGATTCTGTGCGATTCCCCATACTCTCCGCCGTGTTAATAGCGCCGCCGTCTCGTCTAGCACCTGTCCCCAACCTTGCCGGCAGCAGAGGACGGGAGCACCGTGTACACCAATCACCTCATTCCCACCCTCACACACCCATGCTGAGATTCTCCGAGAGGTTGGATCATCAGGATCACCTTGGTAGTCAATGCGAAGCGTGTCGCCGTTTTGATCCGTGTTTTGCGAAGTCGTTAATAGTCGAGCCATACACACAAGTATGATCCCGGCGTGAAAAGTATTAAATGCCTCCATAGACATGTTCTCGGGAAATTGGCGTGCCAATGCCAAGATTTGCGCACAGTGGTAAGCGACTTCCCGCACCCTTCTGGGGTTTTCAGCACCCCATTGAAGGACACGAGCTGTTTGGTGGCTGGAAGACTGAGACGGCTTGCTTAACAAAACTTTTCGTAGGAACGGATTTACCCAGCGCATGAGACCACCGGCGGCATGAAGATGCGACATGTGTACCAAGTGCATCTCCTGAACAACCCTCGCCACCTCCAATTTGGGATGTGTCCGTAACAGCAGGATGGGGGTCTGAGAAAAGTGATCCAAGACTTCTAGTACCTTCTGTTTTGGATGATCAAGGCCAGGTCCCAAATGCCCACCGACTAGTATGAAGCTAGATTGCTCCAAGCAGAGTAGCATCATACTTAACGTGAAGATCATGATAAGACGATGTCGCTCGTTTGTTAACCCTCTTGCGGCTTTTCCTTTACTTTCGAACAAGTTTCTGATTGTGGGAAGCACTCTCAGGTCAGTAGTTAACGAATGCCCCGGAAATTGCAAGCTGGCCCAGGCGTACGCAGAATCGGCATCCCAGAGCTTCATCGAGCTCGGCATCCTCATGCAGGCGTCCATTATGTTGAGACAGAGCCTGTCATTGTGCAACAATGCCTTACAAAAGTCGTACTCCTTAGGGCCAGGTCAGTGAGATCTCTGGTGGATCAAGACCAATGCCATTTGATCAAATGCACAATACTCACAAAAACAGCCCAACCTAGGCGAATGCATCGTTCCTGCCGAATCCATTCCTTCCAGGCTTCCTCAGGATCATCTGAAGAGCTGACGCGAGGAACCGGGTCTCGAAATAAGCCCATACACTTGGCATGATGAACGAGCGCGCTTCGACTTGATTCACTGAGCTCGAAAAGACGCTCATTGCCACTGCAATATCCGTGCATGCCTTGTAATAGCTGTGCGGTGAAATACGCCACGGTTCGAACAAAGCGACGATCGTGCTCGGCCTGCGTGCGGAATCATCAGTTTCAAAAAAAAGGATCGCCTTGGTCGAGCATTCGGGGGCTCTCACCATTATTACCAACCAACGGCGACACACTTCCGACACGGCCTCCGAGAAGGCGTGGCAATTAGGCAGATCCACATAGCATGCACCGATACTTACAACAGCCAAAGTGACAACCAGGCTATCATCAGGGTCAAAGGTCGGACGGTGTAGTATTGGGAAGATCTGAGCAAAAGGAAGTTGTTAGCGCACAGCAACCTAAACACACATTTTACGATCGAAGCAGAGAAGACTAACCTGATGGAAGTGTGCAAAATATGAATCAATGCAGAGATCAAGGGTTTCGCTGCTTGGGAAGCTACTCAACTGAACTGGGAGCCAAGGACTCCGCTCAGAAGGCAGTTCAAAGTGGCGTCGCAGGGAAGCCATAGTCGAACTACTAAGGGGTGGTATCGAGAAGTGTTTTCGAGCCCGGTGCTGTTCCGACATTCCGAATGGAGGGAGCGTTAGACGCTGGGTCGGACCTGCATGGGATTCCACAGGCCAAGGATCTCCTGGGCTTCCAGAATCCTGGGGATCTGGCACAGGCAGGTCGCCATGAGCCCAACCATTTTCCACCGGAATTGAAGCGCCTCGTGGAGAATCAGACGGAAGTCGAGGTTGGAATAGTGATGCGTCCGTGGACTGTAAAAGGGAAGCATCTTTGCCGGGGAACGAGCACCAGTCATTGGCACCGGACGGCCCAAACAGCCAGTCTTGGTTATAGTCAAAGTCGTCCGATTCGGGCATGCCGAACAAACCGGCGGGATCTGGGAAGAAGTCGGGAAAACTCTCGCCAAGGTTTTCAGTGAACGGTCCAGGAGGCTCGGTTGCGCTTCCGGCGCTGGAGGTAGCGTCCATCACCGTTGAATGAGCACTTCTCTGGCCACTAGCGGAAGAGAGCAAGGCGCCAATCAGAAGATCCTCCTCTGACGCTGCTGGTACGCCATTGTATTTCATCGTACTTGTATCGCACCCACCTTCGTTGGACAGTGGAGATGCAGAGTTCGGCAGAACTCTCGTGTTGTATGTGCATTTGATTTTGCGCTTCACGCATGATGAGCAAGCTGGTTGTTCGGCCTGACATTTGATTTTGGATCTGAATCGAGAGACAGTGTGGTGAGCATGTGAGAATGACTTGAGTCGGGATGGAGTCAGTGCAAGGGCAAAACAAACTTCGAGCACTGCTGGCAAGCTTTCCGTCTAGGCTTCAAAGATGAATGTCTCTTTTCGTGAACTCGCATGTGACGGATCAATGTGTCCCTAAATGGAGCCCGCAGTTTGGTGAGTAACCAAAGTCACTGTGGCCCCGGAATAGTTTGTCCACATAAGACGTTGCTCACCTCCGATCAAACCGCCGCTCACACAGACTGCAGCTGTATCTGAAACGGGCGTGTCAGGACTGTGACATTGTACGATGACTTGGCAAATGTTTTCTCACCTCGGTAGATGATGGTCAACAACAATCTGATCTGCTGCTGTTGAGGCGCTGTCTACTTGGGCCATTTTTGTCGCAAGTGGGTTTCTGTACGGCCAACTTTTGGAGAGAAAGAGAGAACAACGACCCCGCAAGTTGCGGGGCTGGGACAGAAATGAAATAAGTAACCACTAGGAAAGGATACAGTATTGAGCACTTGCAGCCTCCTCTCCTATAATAACCCTTATAAATAGAAGATGGCTCCACATGTCAAGCATATATACATATAAACACTATATACACGCTTATCTATGACTAACAGCGTGCAGGTTGATATACTTTCTGGATAACGTATCAATGGCAATACATATGACTCACACTGCCAACCTATCTCCACTTCCCCGGATTCGCGCCCCAGACTTCCAGGCAACATTAGTACTTCTAAGTACCTTATTCGCTCGGCCAGGAATTACTTACGCACCCAAAAGAAGGCCTAATTATGACAAAACATCTACTCATAAGGTAGAGCCATATACTAGATGACCCCACCCTAGACTTTACAAAGAGCATGTTGTTTTAGAGCGGTAGGTGCAAGTGCTCAATACTGTAGCATACCGCCTTATTGTCCACCTTACTTAAGCAAGTCTTCTTATACGTAATCAACTTTTCTGCCACTCCTATCACTAGCGGTTATATGAAATTTTGATTGTTGCAGTTTTGTCTTATGAGTCTGCCGTACCTCGGCTGGAAGCTTGCCGTCCCCGCACATGCAAACGCGGGGTCCCCACGCGTGGAGAGCATGTGGGCGGGGATGGGAGTCTTGGCTTGCTTGCTGACTAATATTAGCGCCGAAAAAACCTACTATGAGCCTTAGAATGATAACCTACTTAGCATTTCGGGTGCCGATATTACTAAGAAGGCCGATATTTACTAAGGATTATACGGTTAGTATTAGAACTCTATTTCTATACTTTTTAGTCTAGGCCTATTACTTAGTAAAACCCTAATAAATTATTTATTATCGCTCTAGATAATACTTTAAGGCGATAAGATTTACCTAGAAGAAAGGTATTATTAGCTAGGTATTAGTTAAAATTAATTACCTCCCTAAGATAGTAATTATATAAGCCTAGGATTTACCTTCCTAGATAATTTATTTTTTTTTTTTTTTTTTTATAAGGCTTAGGCATAGGCAGCTTATAAGTTAGATAATCTTTAATAAAGCTAGAGAAATATAGAGGAGCTTAGATATATTATAACCTCTATATAAGTAATAATTAATAAAAGAAATTATTTAATTATTTTTAATATTACTTATAAGCAATAAGGAATTATATATAGATTAAAAGTCTTTAAGTATTAAAGCTAAGAATATTAATTTTATTTAAATAATAATTTAAGCCTATATATTTATATAAGCTATAAAATAGATATATAAGAGAGTCCTATAAGCCTTTAAATATTTTTATAAATTAGATTCCCTAAGTATAACTATATAAGAAATTAATAAAAATAAATATTATAATATAAATATATAAGAGCATAGAATACTATAATATATCTTTTAAGATAACGTACATGATAAGCGAGTGGATCAAACAAGCGAGTGGATCAAAATCCAATTTCTTAGCGTTTACACCCAAATTCTAATTTCTTTAAAAAAGTGCCTAGAAATTTTAACCACTACCAAAACAGATGAAATTTGTAAATAGCATCTATTAGCCACTAAATATAAACCACAAATTTTCTTAGATTTTTTAAAAATCTTTTGACTAGTTCGTTAAGTAAAAACATATTCACACTGTATAAATGGCTAATTCTATATAAACAAATTTTTTAAAAAGTCTTTAAAAAATTACTATATGTTTCTAGAATATTAAATATAGTATAAATACTCTTTTTCTGTTTTTTAAAAATCATTCAGTCCATTTTAGAAGATCCAAAAAGTGTTATTTTAGGTGTACAGTGCAGCTGATCCACTCGCTTGTTTGATCCACTCGCTTATCATGTACGTTATATAATAAGTTAATTAAAGCTTCTAGTTAATAGATTAATATTAAGATAAAGCCTATCTAAAAGCTAGATATTACTCTTTAATTAATTTACTTATTATTATAAACTCTATACTAGGTAATAAAATAGCTATTAGGCGGGTAAGTTAATCTTTTAATATATTACTCTATTAATATATAATAATATATTAAATAATATAATCCCTAAAGAAAATTAAAAATATTAATATCTTTTTAATCTAGCTAGATTAATCTATAAGCTAAAGTTTATTATGACGGTATGGTTAGATCCAAGGGATAAACCGGTCATACTGGGTTTATGTTAGTAGAGGATTATTAGTGTTATCTTAAACGAGGTATAATATTACGTCTAGTAATATACTTAAGGTATTGAGTATAACTAAGTGGTATTAATAGCTGAGGTAGCTACTATATAGGAAAGTGCAATAAGTACGTTCTATATACTTAGGGTGCTTACCGGGGTAGAACCTATGGTGCTTATTTGCTTATTGCCCTTATACCGTCGCGGGTGAGCGCGATGTATAAGTGCTTACTCGTGTTGTGGTGGGTCTTGCTTACTTCTATAGCGTCTTTGTTATATAGTGGTTTTCTACTTTGCTAGACCGCCTGGTCTGGTACTGGGCTGTGATATGAGGTCTCCCCTCTGTTAGTCTTGCCCTTAAGGCCATATAAGTAGCTATCATTCCCTAACCCGGTTGGTCTTACGTTTTGCTTCTTTAACCTCCTGCTAATATATATTGATATAATATCTAGCCGTATTTCTAAAAAATAAAAGAAATCTAATAATCTTAAACCCGCTAATTCTACCTATTATCGCTATATTTCTGCGGAATTTATTAAGTATGCTGGTTTTATCGTAATGCTATGTATTCGTTATTAAGCCCGCGGGGCTATCTATAAGATGGTCGACGGGGGTAAGAAATATGGTTTATATACCTATTTAGGTCGTTCTTATGATATAACGGGGGTTCCTCTATATTCCTATAAGTACCTTCCTATGGTTATAGTATAGGCACTTATAATTAACCCGATTCTAGTATCGAGAATTATTTCCGAGGCAAAGCGGATTAACGCTGAGGAACTTGCGGCGGAGGAGCTTCTATAAGCCCGCTATGCGTCCTTAGCGTAGGCGCAGAGAGAGTTAGTAGTTCGTTAGTAAGAGCTAGAGGAGTCTTTAGCTTATTTATCTTAGTTGCGTATATAGCATTATTCTTTAATTTCGAAAGGGACGGAGATAACTCATCGTAACCTCGAGTCGATAGATAATCTAGATAAGCTAGAAGTAGTGGAGTCTAAGGCTATCTTAGATATATAGTCCTTAGTATATATAGATCTTATTAATTAGGGTTCCCTAAGTCTTAGGGATTTTTCCTTGCCTTCTTTTAAATTTGCCGGTAGAAGTCTTTTAGGAGGCGCTATGTACTAGTGAGGTACTCTAGTGGTTCTTATATGTTTTTAGAGTCTAGGTAATCCTTCTATTTGATGAAATATATTATTTTACCGTTAATTTTGTCTATATCGAGGATAGCTTCTATGATATATTCTTCTAGTCCGTTAATTTTGGTTTCTAGTTTATTACTAGCCTTAACTTAGATAGTATTCTATATTAATTCGAGTAATAAAATATAAAAGATTAGGTAGAGCTTAACCTTAGGTAGTAAGTCTAGTTTATAGTTATATTTTAAGATTTTTGTTTAATTTTATAGGGTCTAATATATTTATAGTTAAGTTTTTTATTTTATTATTTTATTTTAATGTTTTTTATTACAAGGTAGACTATATCTCCCTCCGAGAAGATCAGTCCCTCGATCCTTTTCTTATTAGCGTAGTTTATTATCCTATTTCTAATAAACTCGAGTTCTATTCTTATTTCTTTATATAGATTCTTTAGTTAGTCGCTAGTGAGGATTACCTTAGGGTTAATAATAGTATCTCATATTTATCGGTATATATCCGGCGTGAATCTAAAGTTAGCATAGGCTAGTATAATCTTCATGCTTTTATTTATAGCTATATTATAAGCTAGCTAGGCGGCTAATAGCTTTTTAACTTAGTTAGTTTATTCGTAGTTAATATAGTATTAGAGATATTATTCTAGTATTTAATTTATATATTCTATCTATCTATTTGTTTCCTTATGATATGCGGTAGAGAGTTTATAGTTAATTCCTAGGTATCCTATAAGGCTTTGCTAGAATTTTAAAGCGAATAGTAGTCCTCGATCTATAATAATTTCGAGTAGTATACTATATATTTTAGTAATATAGAAGTAGAAAAGGTAGGTGAATTCTTTGGCTATTATTAATTCTCTATAGGGTATAAAATAGGAAAATTTCGTGAGTCTATCTATGATGATAAGAATACTATCGTAGAAGTTATTAGTAGCTAGTTCTTCTAATAGAGGTAGTTTCGTAATGAAGTCTATTATAATAGCTTCCTATGGTAGTTAAGATACCGGTAGGGGCTATAGCTTGCCGTATGGCTTGTGGCGTTATGCCTTGGTTTTCGCGTAAAGGTCGTATTAGCTAATAATTATCGAAATAATTTTCTTTATATTAGGAAATATGTATATCGTCTTGACTTATTCTAGGGTTTTGTTGATTCCTTAATGTCTATATAACTAGTGATTATATATTTTATATATAAGATTATGTCGTAATTCCTCTGGTACTTATTATTTATTTGTGTTTTTATTATCTAGGAGTTATTTATTGTATTCTAGGATCTTTATGAGGAGTAGATTACCTTATTCTATTATATAGGTTGCGTTTAGATATCGCCGCTATTTAACGTATATAATAGTTTATTATTATAGGTATCCTTCGGGTATAAAGTATAATAGTTGTTCCTTGGTTTAGGTTTTTCCTATATCTAGGTCGGGTCTTCGGCTAATAGCGTCTACCCTGCTATTTTCTAATCCTTTAACGTGGATAATAATATAGTTGAATTCTGAGAGGTATTTAGCGTATTATAGTTATTATCTGCTGAGTTCTTAGGTTATCATAAAGTAAGAGATATTCTTATAGTCTATATAGACCTTAATTTAATATCGGCTT